ATAAATGTACAAAGAAAAAAGAAATAAATAAGTGCATAAATGAATGAATGAATGAATATTGATTAAAAAGTATTTCTGAAATATATTGCAATTCAAATTCAGTAATTTACTCACCCTTATATTTTTCCAAAAGTAAATAAATAATAAAATAATACATAATAAAAAATGTCCATGATCCATTTTGGCAAGTTAAAAAAATACACAGTTTTTTTTAAATGGCTTAGCTAATAAACATTCACACAGTGCTATTTCTGTTTAACCAGCAATATTTTTAAAAAAAGGTAAATACATTTTTGACTTGCAGTTTGTATTAATAATAATAACAACAACAAAATAAGTGTACCATACTTGCCGTATTATCTACCACTGTAAGTGCATTTCTGTACATGCATATTTAACCTATAATATTCACAGGGATCATTTGTAAGTGTGGGTGATGATGATGTTGACTGTGGTAACGGCGGCTCTGTCCTTGCATTCATCTTCTCCAGTGCAAGATGATTAGATTGAGAAATATCGTTTTAGCGGGCATATTTCTGCCCTGCAAATCACCGGGAGCGGGGCCAGGGGCCTCATCCCAGCCCTGACACCCAGCCCTGAATCCCTCTCCTCAGGCAGCGAGAGCGCACTGTGGCCTTGAGACCAAAGAGATTTGATTTGGCTCCATTTTTCCCTGCCACGCTCCTAGACACGCGAGCAACTGTGAAATACAACCTCGCAGCGTGTCTGTGAGGATCGTCGTAAACAAGTCGAGTGAGCAATATTAATCCCAATCCTACTTCATAAATCAGCCGGGCTTTACAGGCCCACACGCCCTCCAGAAAGACAGGACCGGGAGAGAGAGAGACCCAACTAAAGGCCTGCACATTAAATTACGCTTAAGGCATGCTGAAACATGCATTTACTTTTCAGATTTACATTGACTGGAAGATGCTGGCGCTTACTTTGAGCACAATGAAAATCTAATATACTCACAAACATGTTCATATAAACATATAGATTTGAAAGAAAGGAAGGGAAGGAAGAAAGTGCCTTGAAAAAAAGGACAGAAGAAAGAATGCAGCTAGGAAAGAAAAGTGGGTAATGTTACACATGACTTTTTGATTTTATGTATATATTATATAATTTTAAATATATGCAATATATATACAAGGAAAGGAATGGAGAAAAAAGAAAAGAAAAGAGAAATGGCAGAAGAAAATTAAGGAATTGGGAGGTTAAGAAAGAAAGAAAAAACATGTAAAGTGGTAGATAAAAGATAAATACGAGAATTAAAGCATGATCATCAGTTTCCATGAGTTCAAGGCCTAACCAATATGCCACCTATTCATCTTCCATGAATCACTTATTCTGTGATCGATTAAGCGTAATTGCTCAGTACGAGCAATTTGGCAGCAGCCAATGAGGAGCTGCAGAAACAGACGCGGCTTCATTTGCTATCGTCTAATTAATTATTAATAATAATAACAACAACAAAATAAGTGTACCATACTTGCCGTATTATCTACCACTGTAAGTGCATTTCTGTACATGCATATTTAACCTATAATATTCCTTTGTAACTTATACGTAACTTAAAAAAAAAAAGATATATATATATATATAGCTTTATAAAGTCGAGGCTTCTCTGACAGCTGCCATGTTGAGCATTGTGATATCTCCTATTCAACTGACCTTGTTTGCCTGGTGTTCAGTCTGTGACACAAACATGCTCATCTAAAGACTCAAGCACAGATGTGCATCAACACACCCCAGTCGTCTTTGTCTCTTTTCTTAAGGAATGGAGAAAAAAGAAAAGAAAAGAGAAATGGCAGAAGAAAATTAAGGAATTGGGAGGTTAAGAAAGAAAGAAAAAACATGTAAAGTGGTAGATAAAAGATAAATACGAGAATTAAAGCATGATCATCAGTTTCCATGAGTTCAAGGCCTAACCAATATGCCACCTATTCATCTTCCATGAATCACTTATTCTGTGATCGATTAAGCGTAATTGCTCAGTACGAGCAATTTGGCAGCAGCCAATGAGGAGCTGCAGAAACAGACGCGGCTTCATTTGCTATCGTCTAATTAATGCAATAAACAAAGACTGTAACAAATGAACACATTCTCCCATCATCTCTCCAGGAACTTTAGTCATTCACTGCAGAAGACAGATCAAGTGTTCTGATGCATGTAGAGCACACAGCTGCCATGTTGAGCATTGTGATATCTCCTATTCAACTGACCTTGTTTGCCTGGTGTTCAGTCTGTGACACAAACATGCTCATCTAAAGACTCAAGCACAGATGTGCATCAACACACCCCAGTCGTCTTTGTCTCTTTTCTTTCTCTATTTCACCGTGACTTTCTCTCTCATCTCCTCTCACTCCCGCTCTCTGTGCAAGTGCATTTGCCCTGAGGTGGCTCGTCTCCCCCAGGCTCGGGGAACAGTGTGTGGTTTTTTGAAACCGGGGGCAATATAATGGCAGTGTAGCAGCCCATCGCTCGCTAAGCCACAGGTTTTAATAAGAGCCAGCAGAGCCCGAATGGAGGGTCTCCGGCTGAGGAGGCGGGGGTCCTGACAGACTAAGAGCCCCCTGATGTGGCAGCTGAATGCCAAAACAGGCCCTCGGGGGGACGAGTCATTCAAATTGATAGCTCCTCCTCAGACACGTTGACTTCTTATAGGGTAATACGTCGAGAACTACTCACATACCTTCCCCCTCCACCTCTGCTTTTTCGGTCTGAAAAACAATCCTGCAACCTCCTCACCTCCACCGAAATGCTCTTTCCTACTTGTTTACAGTCAGGTCCTCTCTACTTGATGTTTTTGTTTTGTTTGGCCCTCAGGTGATCTTTAGGAGTTACTTTTCTTTCTCTCAATCTGTTTTTTCAAGTGTTTTTTTTCTCCTTCTATATTTAAAAACCTCTGCTTTTTTCGGTCTGAAAAACAATCCTGCAACCTCCTCACCTCCACCGAAATGCTCTTTCCTACTTGTTTACAGTCAGGTCCTCTCTACTTGATGTTTTTGTTTTGTTTGGCCCTCAGGTGATCTTTATGAGTTACTTTTCTTTCTCTCAATCCGTTTTTCAAGTGTTTTTTTTCTCCTTCTATATTTAAAAACAATAACAATTTATTTAAAAGATATGTTCCTGTCTTTGAAATAAATGTGCATGTTATTTTAAAGGATTTTTTTTTTTGTTCATGTTATATCAAAATATATTATGGAAGCCTGTTTCTGCCCCAAAGTAAGAAAAATGAAACTGCGAATATATTTCTCATAATTGTGACTATGTATGACTGCATTTTCTTTAACTTTAGTCATTCACTGCAGAAGACAGATCAAGTGTTCTGATGCATGTAGAGCACCTTCACAGCATAAACCCACTTAAACGAACAGAAGATTTCAATAAAACTTCCTATGAAGCATGTATATATAATGCATTCTATTACGGTCCTGGATGTTGACTGGTCAATACATAATACAAAATATACAATACAGTAAGAGTTAAGAAGTGAAACACCTGTTCACATACTGCCACTGCATTGCATTCTGTTAACATACAATGTTCCAAAATAAGACAGAATTTGTTCAATAAAATAAAAAAATTAACATTAATATTTTTAATATAAAAATATTACATATTTACAAAATATATTTATAAAATATTTACATTACAGCTTATAATTATTATGATTATTATAATATATGTTTATAAAATTCTTCTTTTATTATTATTATATGTTAAAATGGATTCAAATATCAGTAACTTTTTGACAAAAAAAGTAGTTTATTTTATAAAAGCAATAAGACATGCTAGACTGTACTTTTTTACTATATAGAAAATATAGTAAACGGTATCCTTAATGCATTCATAATGCAACAAAACAGCTTATAATTATTGTAAACAAGTAATATAATATAATATAATATATGATATATGATATGATATAATATAGGCTTAAATTGAGAAGAATAAGGCATTGTGAATAGCTTTATAATGCATTTTATACACAGACCTCATAGTATTCCCAATAATGACCATCTTAATTCAGATCTACCGAGGTAAGCTCTTATCTCTGATCTCTAGGGTGTTATATAGCTAAAGACAAGGTATCACTATAAAAAAAATGCAATTGGACGTCCTCTTTGATTAGATAGGAGACCCATGGGATCTGGAATAGAATCTTTAAATCAATCAGCAGAACTTCACTTCCTGCAGGGAGAAACGGGTGACACTGCTGGGGCTTTAATTCCAGCAACTGAAACACCTTCAATCTATTGATACAGCGACAGAGACAATGAGAAGATGTGTGGGTGTGCGGAATTAATACGAAACTCATAATTGTGACTATGTATGACTGAATTTTCTTATAATTATTAAAAATAAATAAATAAATACATACATAAATAAATAATTGAAAAATTCTAAATTAAATAAAAAATAATATTTGTATTTATTATTTTAAAGGATTTGCCCCCTTGTTATGTTACTTTAAAGGAAAAATGGTGTTCTTTCATGTTTCATTAAATACGTTTAATTACTCTGTTCCGGAGTAAGAAAATGGAAGTATTTGCAATTTTATTTCTCATAATTATGACTTTCTGTATGACTGCATTTCTTATTTACTTTTTTATACTGAATTTAAAAAAATATATATTTTACATTCATTATTTTAG